TTTTAAAAGTCAATGAAAAATATTCCTCAGGTGAGGATATCAAAAGTAAAAGTAAAATAAAATGGTTAAGATGGTAAATTTGATGTATGCATATTTTACTACAATATATCTTTTAAAAAGCACATCTTCCCAGCTAACCTTCTAAACCAAGCCGTGGGCAAACTACGGCCCGCGGGCCGGATCCGGCCGTTTGAAATGAATAAAACTAAAAAAAAAAAAAGACCGTACCCTTTTATGTAATGATGTTTACTTTGAATTTATATTAGTTCACACAAACACTCCATCCATGCTTTTGTTCCGGCCCTCCGGTCCAGTTTAATAACCCATTGTGCCCTCGAGTCAAAAAGTTTGCCCACCCCTGTTCTAAACCCTCGGCTAAGAATCCCTGTACCCATGATTCTTTCTCCCTCTCCCTTTGTATTTTAAAATATTTTTCTCAACTGTAATCTCTCTGGTCGAATGGGGACCTACTCAGACATTCTCTGATGACCCTGAGACCCAATCTCTACTGGAGAAATAGGATCTGTCATTTCACACCGAGCACCTGGATGGGTTTTCACCTATGCTGCCTAGTTAGGCATCAAATTCTTAATCCTGCATCTGTGGGCGGCAAATTCATTAATATGGAAGTGAGAATCACTCAACAGACACCCATTTTGTTAAGAATATTAAGTTTCAGGAACTAGGTTCAGGGGGAAAGTCCTCTAATGCAACTGACCTTGGAGATCTACAATGTGAGAATGTGAAGGTGTGCTGTGAAGCTGCAGAAAGTAAGTGGTGATACACTGTGCAGGACACAGAGGGGGAGGAAAAGGGTCTGAGTAAGAAGTGCCTATTTGTGGAAGCAAAGACACATAACAATAGCAGAGGCAAAATGTGAGACAAAAGAATTATCCCCGCTAACAGCACGGTGTGTGTGTGTGTGTGTGTGTGTGTGTGTGTGTGTGTGTGTGGCTGTTCGGCTGTTCCTTAGGATGACTGACTGACTGCCTTTATGCTTCAGAAACATCACAGGGTCTGAACCAAAAGAGACTTTCTCAAGGCCGTGGCACCGGACTGCAATGACGATCTCCACCTGTGGAGGCCCTGCTGCCTGTATTGCTTTGGCCTTTTGTTACGCTGGTAACGGCAGGCTCCCTTAATGTAGAAGTGACCGGGCTGGCTTGTAGCATGGTAAAAGCCCTGAATACCACTTCCAGGGCTATATAGGGGTTAAATCAAGAGCTGAGCCAGGTCAGGGAGGTAGTTCTAGAGCAGTGATGGCGAACCTATGACACGCGTGTCAGAGGTGACACGCGAACTCATTTTTTTGGTTGATTTTTCTTTGTTAAATGGCATTTAAATATATAAAATAAATATCAAAAATATAAGTCTTTGTTTTACTATGGTTGCAAATATCAAAAAATTTCTATATGTGACACGGCACCACAGTTAAGTTAGGGTTTTTCAAAATGCTCACACGCCGAGCTCAAATGGTTCGCCATCACTGTTCTAGAGAATCGGGCAGCAGTAGATTATTTGCTGCTGCAGCATCACCACGGTTGTGAGGAATTTAAAGGAGTGTGCTGTTTTAATCTTTCTGACAATTCTCAGTTGATAGAACATATATCCAAGATCCTGCATTTGGTGTATTCCATCCCTGGGAACTGCTTTCAAGGCAGAAGCAGATGTGGTCCAGCAGGATGAGATTTTTCATCTAAAACTAATCTCATAGATATGAGATTTTAGAAATAGCAGTGGGGAAATGTTAGGGGCAAAGATAGAATATTGGGGACCAGCTATGGTTATGGGAAATATTAATCAGTCTCTGTTAACCATGATTGCCTTGTGTTGCTTAAAGAAAGGACATTCTGCCCTAACCGGTTTGGCTCAGTGGATAGAGCGTCGGCCTGTGGACTGAAGGGTCCCAGGTTTGATTCCGGTCAAGGGCATATACCTTGGTTGTGGGCACATTCCCAGTGGGGAGTGTGCAGGAGGCAGCTGATCGATGTTTCTCTCTCATTGATGTTTCTAACTCTCTATCCTTCTCCCTTCCTCTCTGTAAAAAAAAAAAAAAAAATAATCAATAAAATATATTAAAAAAGAAAAAAAGAAAGGACATTCTGACCTGGCTGGGAGTTGTACACTCCCAGGACCTAGGAGACAACCTTGGAATCATTCTCATTCAAGAACTGCCTATTATCATGGAAAGATTAACAACCTTGTTGCCCAAACAATAGAGTCCCACCCAGCCTCCTACTTCCCCATGTAATCTTTGTCCTACCTTATATAAGCAGCTGGCTTATGGGGGAGAGGGGGCCTGCAGAGCAGATTTTTGTGAATGACCTGCTGCTCTCCCATACTGCCAATGGTATTGGAATAAATGCTCATATATAATTTTTTAAAAAAATATATTTTACTGATTTTTTACAGAGAGGAGGGGAGAGGGATAGAGAGTTAGAAACATCGATGAGAATTCAACTCACCACCTTTTGGACAACTCTCCAACAAACTGAGTCCCACTGGCCAAGGCTTATTTTTAAACTAACTTTTTACTTTGCAGTTCTGGCCACATTGAAAGTAATGGCCTTTTTCCTGGAAGCAAATTATTCTGAGTCCTGAGGACTTCCTATATTGGGTATTGTTTTTTAAAACAGTGGCTCTCAAACCTGGCTACACCCAAGGCTGCCCAGACTTGAGTGGACTCTGGTGGTGCTCCCTGGTGTGGGTGCCCCTCCCCCCAAAAAACCCTGATGGACTCAGAGTAGCAGGTGGCTTTGGGCTGGCCACCAATTTGCCTATATGTGCCAGGAAAACAGGGTCAACAGCCTGACCCAGATGCTCCAGTGCCAGAAGGGCAGCCTGTGTCCTTCCTCTAACCTCCAGAACAGAGAGAATGGAACATTCTAGAGCAGTGGTTCTCAACCTGTGGGTCGAGACCCCTTTGGGAGTTGAATGACCCTTTCACAGGGGTCGTCTAAGACCATCAGAAAACACATATATAATTACATATTGTTTTTGTGATTAATCACTATGCTTTAATTATGTTCAATTTGTAACAATGAAATTGAGGGTCACCACAACATGAGGAACTGTATTAAAGGGTCGCGGCATTAGGAAGGTTGAGAACCACTGTTCTAGAGTCTTTACAGCTGGGGGAGGAAGTGGCTAAGTAGGAACACATCTAGTTTCTTTCCAGCCCAGTCTGGCTTCCTTCTCTGTGTTGTGTTTTTGTTTTCCTATTCATGCCTGGTGCTGTGTTCTCTGTCATTTCTAGTGGACAGTGAATTGTGATAACCCAGATGTCCGAGTAGAGTATATGGGGCATTATCCAAGGTGTCCCTTGAGATAAACTTAACCATGCAGGTATTCGGACATTAAGTAGTTGCTAGCAAAGAGTCTACTCTAAGCAAGCAGGACCGAGGGTAGGCATTATCATCTGACCTAGAGGCCCAG